TTTCGCAGGGAGAAATACGAACAAAGGTTACGAGCACGCGAACGATGTTAGTGTTAAGTGGCACAATTATTGTGTGCCCATTTTTACACGCACATAATGTAGTATGTACCTCCTCCATCTGGTCATTTTATAATGTGTACTTTTTCATTTGTGCAAATAATTTACATTTTGAGGAATTGCATAGAAGGAAAAAAAAAAAAAAAAAGATGGAAGCAAGAAAAACGTGTTTGCCTTTTGGGTTTGTTGTTCATTGCTTAGCCTTCGGGGGCGACGGCTTTAAAGTTCAGTGGCGGGGAAATTACCCGTGGAGTGTTTATTATCCCTTAGAGTTTACCCTTTAATGGATTATGTTTCGCAGGGTGGGTAATCTCCTCGTGGAGGAGAAAGTCTTTCATCCTTGCTGCTTCCTTGCACGTGGAACAATCTTTGGGGGTTCCGCACAACTCCAAGTGATGGGAAATAATGAGGTACCCATTTTATGTGCCTTGTGAATGCGTGTGCTCATGAGGAGTGTATTCTGCGCACCTTTGCATACGTCATGCAACTCCTCTCCGACGCGGTATTTCCAACCGCCACAACGGTACCGAGGCATATGTCTTTACTCATGTGGGCACCGTGTCTGCTGTTTGAGAAACACCTCTAAACCAGCTCGGTTAAGCTATTCCATCACAAGTTGGAGGAAAAAAAAGCATAACTTGGGTTGTGGACCCAGGGAACTGCTGCGAACAAATTTACACATGAAAGCTCCCCATTTGGCTGTGTCCCCGTATCCGCATTTTTATCTTCCACGTGTTAGCACACCAATTTAAAAAAATTAAATAAATAAATAAAAATACGAACAAATAGAGAAGCAAGCAAATTCTGCAAGGTGATCGTTTCCTTACGCCGACTATTCATTTTACCCCACGGGAGGAACAATTTAAAAAAAAAAAAAAAAAACGAAAAGCAATTAAAATGATTCACTCATCATTTAATATGTCCCTCCAAGTGGAACACTTCGTGGAGGAATCATTTCCAACCCGTTTGGTGAAAGTAACGGTTGCGTTGTCGCCGCACGCAAAATGGGGTTGAGAAGTACCCCGCTATAGGGCATCATTCTGTTATGTTAATGCTTCTCCTGGAATGGGTGAAGTAGATTCGGGAGATGCATGCAGCATTTATGGGTGGGGAACATTTTCCAAATAAGACCATCACTGCCTTGTTGCTTTGTCGTCATTCACCTGCTTGCCCATTTTTACTTTTTCCCCGTTGTCCACCGATCCGGTAACGCAGAGGGGCGTCCCTCTACAGCGTGTCTGAGTGTGCAGATGATGCACAAAAGGGGGATAATACAGGAACAAAAGAACTGCGCATAAAAAACACAAAAGGTATGCGATGCGTTTAAAAAAAAATAAATGGCCACTCGTCTCTACCGAAATTCACTAATCAGGAAGTGATAAAACGTGGAGACCGCTGCATGAGTAGGTCTTGCAATGTATTTTGTTTTTCCTCCCCCAGCGAAAAAAAAAAAAAAAATCCCCGTTCACTCTATCTTCAAAAGTCGCTTAAATGAAAAAAAGAAATAAAACAACATCGCCGATGCGAATGGCTCCCCGTGCCATACTCCAAGGCGCAGGGACTGACAGAGTATGAGCCACTGTCTAGGGGCGAGAATCTCCTCTCTCTCCCTCCTTGCCGTGCCCCTCCACATGTGCACACCTTGATCAGACGCGCGTAATGGGGCTAAAAAAAGCGCGAAAAGAAAAAAAAAAAATAATAAAATAAAAATAAATGAGCCCAGGAGCGAGGCAACGGATAAGTGGAGAGAAAAATATGTCGCTCATCCAAAAGGGGTCCATGTGCATATAGGCAAAGATGGATAAGGGAAAGAATGGGCCACTGCGCTAATACGTGAAGGAGTCCTCACACACGTAGTGCTGGCGGACAGCTAAAGTGGGCCCTCCCTGGGAAGACCCAGCGTGTGTCCGCGACGAATAGTCTCAAACGCGCACAAAGTTCACACCTCAGGGGAATCCCCCTACCGTGCATTTGACCAACCCAAACAGGATGAACGAAAATAAAAAGTTGGAAATAATTCGGAGCATGCTGCACACCCTACTGGGGGACTCGGAGAAAGAAAGGAAAGACGACGATGATGTGGGAGAGGAAGAAGTAGCAGACGCAAATAATAATCCTCTGCACTGCGCCCCTCGAGGTGACCACCGTAACGTTTGTAATGAAACAGAGAAGGAACAAAAGGAAAAAAATAAATTGAAGAAAAAATATGTACAGAAATCCAAAGAAGTCATATCTTTTTATAGAAATTATATGAACAAGTCAGAACAAAAAGAGCTGGAAAAGTATGCAAATCTTTACGACATCGTTTTAAATAATTCCTTCGAACATACAGAAAGGGACAGCATAGACACGTACATGTATTGTAACGTCTTTCCTATGTTAAAGAAAACGTTTGACGCATTCGTTGTCTATGTGTCCAAATTAAATGAACATAAAAATGATGAAAGTTACACAAAGGTCATAAAAAATTTCGACCCAATTTTATTGTTCTCTCAATATATTATACGTTTGACGGATGAGGACTTTTCACAAAGCGACAAGGACAACAGCTTATTTGAAGAAGAACTTAATGGATGTTTTCCTACAGAGGAAGATTTTCAAAAGAAGACGACTCTTGAATTGGACAAACTTATACATGACGAGTGCTTCGTTACCGCTGGTGGGATGCATACCAATGTAACTGACCTGGGTCATACTGATGGGAAAAAAACGGATGCAGAATTGACGCAAGTTGAAAAAGAAATCAACGATTTTTACAACAACTATGACATAGTAGCGCAAGAGAACAAACTGAAAAGGTGGGAAAAAAGAAGGGATATTTTGAGGTCCATTTATAGCAACAAAAATGTTTTATCAGCTGAAGAAATAGCCTTGTATAATTCGTACTATGAGGAACGTATAAAAGTGAGGGGCAAAAAGGTGCTAGCTGGTAGGCGCGACTCCTCACTCATCCTGAACTTTGCTACGACAAACTCGTTTGGAAATGTCGCTGTGACGCCTAATGAGTTTAACATAACGCTTGATTTGGAGGAGACACGAGGGGGGACACGTGGTGATGCAAAAGAAAAGGGTGGAGAAGTACAGGTTAAGGAGAAGGGTCACCTGAACGTGGCGAACCCCCCTGGCGATGCCCATCCGGATGAAGTCGGCGATAACCTGGATGAACTAATAAAACAACTGGAGCGAAGGGAAAGCTCCTACTTTGAAAAGAGGATACACTTTGTGTTAGACAAATGGGTTCGAGAAGAAGACGGACGCAGACTCATAATCAAACAAAAGGATAAAATAAAAATCATCTTTGATGAATTTAAAAAGAAAAATTACACCATCACAGATAAAGACATCATTCCATTGCTATTCTTCATAGACAAAAAATTATTTCTTAATTATACCCTTGTGCATCAGTACAATTTTAATAACTTCCATTATATTTTTTATTTACATTCTTCTTTTTATTGTTCTGATACGAATAGCATCACGTTTGAAGAATTGTGGACTTTCCTTGTTTCTAACTTGCCTCTAAATTCCCACTTGTATAAGGAAGACATTTTAATTGGGCTGGACAAATTTTACAGAAAAAAAAAAATCCTCCGAAATTTTCAGTTCACCATCACTTTTGTAAAAAACTTCCTTCTCTTTCTCTTGATGGACATGTTTTTATTCCTTTCCCGTTTTGTCAAGCAGGAGTTAAGTCACCACCCCCTTGGGCCTCTTAGCCGGAGCTGCAGTGGAAGCATTGGGGCGGGTATTGCTCTAGGGAGCAATTTTTACCTCCATATGAACTCCCTTTCGCCCTTCTTCTCCTCCTCCGAGGGGTCCTCCACTGAGGCGTTGGCCTCAGTTTGTGCACCTGCCTGCTCCATGCATGGCGACAACAGCACCCAAGTAATATACGGGGGGGATGTCCTCCCTGAGAAGGGCGCATCCAAGGAAACACTTCCCCCATTTTCACCCAATGAAGAGGAGCAATTGGGACCCAGCCAAAGCGAAAACAAATCACAAACGTTACACCCCGAGGGGTACGTGAAAAGAAATCTGCTTCTCCACCTGCTGATGCTCCTCTGGGGAATCAACATAAAGGTGGATGGGCTGCAAGAGGAGGTTCTCATTTCGGACGAGTTGTCCACCGACATGGAGGGGGAAGCGGCGGATGAGACAGACGCAATAGACGCGATGGATGCGGATGGCGCAGTTGGGCACGATACCTCGGCGAAGCACTACGAAGACGCACATGCTTCAGGGGGAGGCGGCAAACCGTTACATAGACCGCCCTACGAACACATTTACCCACAGCGCAAAAAGGACGCACACGAATGCACCTGCAGAAGTGACGGAGAAGTGGCAAAAAAAGGAATTACAAACAGAATTGCAAAAAGAGTGTCACCCAAAAAAAGGAGCTTCTCAATCGACGGAAGGAACAAACAGTACAATTTGAAAAAAACATCAGTGGAAGACGCAATTAGGAATAAGAAAAAAATAAATGAGGATGAATTAGAAGAAGAAAAAAAGAAGAAACAAAAAAAACGTGCTCATGATATGTATACATTACAAAAAATATATAAAAAAAAGAAGTATAAAAAAAAACTCTCCATTTTGATGCACTCTATTGTTAAAAATATTAAGCCGAAGAAAAAAAATTATTATAATAAGCTCCTTGAAATGCTAAATGGCGGTGCGAAGAAGCAGGTCTTTTGGGACCTTTTTCTTTTCCCACTGGAAGGTTATGAACAATTTACCACAGAGTATGATATAGGATGGACACTGAACGGTGTAGACGGCACCACGGCCATGAGCACTGATGGGTGTTCAACATTTCGTGAAAGCGCAAGCGGCGGAGGAAGTAACAAGCATTTAGGTGACACGTGTCCCGATGCCCACTCTTTTGGGAGCACCGATTCATCGCCCCATCCCTGCGGAATGCACATTTTGAAGGGAGAAGGCGGAGACCCCTCTAAAATTCCCTTCTTCCCAGAAGATGAAATTTTCCCGCAAGTGGAAAATTTCATTCAAACGTACATCAAAAAGGGAAGGAAAAAGAGGTCCTCCGACGGGGATCACAAAATGGGGGACACGACAATGGAGGAAGTAAAATCAAGTCCATCTACCAACAAAAGTAGCAGTTCATCCATCCGGCTCCTGTGCAATTTCAGATTGTACAAGAAAAAATTCCTCAATAAATTTACAACGGAGCGTATTTACCTGCTACTCCTTTTTGTGTGTTACGTGAACAAAACCATGAACTCTTTTTTCCTGCGGCGCGCAGCCACCAAGGGGAATTGAAGTTACCACACTCACGCAACACTGTGGGCGCATTCTCTTCGCGTTTCACATTTCCACTTTACCAATTTTTTTTTTTTTTTTGTTCCTGTCGCCGACTCGAAAAAATAACAAAAAAGAAGGTACTCTGTATGTCGCACTAACCCGTGTTTCTCATTTGTAAAGTCAAAAAAAGGAAAAAAAAAAAAAAAAAAAGGTGCAAACTTTTTTAAATATGAATATATTCCTGCTTATACAGACCCACACGTCGATAGAGCCACATGCACAACACGTTTTTAATCACCTAACGTTTGGAAAGGCAGGATGCGCTCGGTGGGAAGGTGTACGTGACGGGTTAATTGGCGTCCTATTTTCTTCACTCCCTTTTGGGACATGTCACTTCTTAACCTGGGCATACGTCTTCACACCCACCATTTCCCCTAGCCAACTAAAATATAAACTTAATTCCCCCATTTATGAACATATTTTCTTTGTACATGTGGGAGAACAAGAGAAAGTACATATAGCTGGTGACCCACTTGGAGAGAAGAATGTTCTTTTCGTATTTCCTTATGATGAAAGGAATTTTGTTATTTTTTATGGTCGCGCAGTGGTTTTTAATTAAATTCACAACGTCGTTGTAGTTCAGTATTTCCCTCTCGTCACACTCTTCTTCGATCTGCATGGTGGAGTGGAATGTTACCGGGGGGGGGGGGGGGTGTATAGGGGAAGGGTACAGTGTGCCGTGTGTGCACCAGCTCAATCAGCGCAGCGAGAGGACGACATACACTACTCCCCACGAATGCAACACGGGGAGCACATCGCAATACGGTTTGGTGTGCCCAATTTTTTCGCTAATTACCAGATTCGCCAAGTCATAGATTATGCTGTCGATGAACTGCAGGGGCAGCTTGTTCTTCCAGTTGACTAGCCAACTTTCGGTGGGTACCCAGTGATCTGCATGAACGGAAAGGGAAAAAAAAAATTGGCAGTAATGTGTGCAAAAATACGTAGTCATGTGTGCACTTTGGCTAACTCAAAAAAAAAAAAAAAAAAAAAAAAAAAAAAAATAGGCAGCGATGTGTACAATTTGGCTAGCTCCAAAACAGAAAAAAAAAATTACAAAATATTGCAATGAGCAATAACTGCACAACTGCCCCAATGCATCATTCGCTGCGGGGCGGCTCACGACGTCGTGCTCGTTGGGGCAGACCAAACAGGAGACTCACCAGCGGGTGGGGTGGAAACAGAGAGGCAGTTATCCTTTAACATCTCGTGCAAGTTGTGAATGGAGAAAAAGACGTCCTTATTCTTTATGATCATGTAAATCAAATTGTAGTTATCATTTAAGTTGTGCGATAGGATGTTGTTTATAAAATCCAGCATAAGGAAAAGGGAATAATAATGATGTTGGGATGAGAGGAGCCATTCCTTTTTTAAAACTTTTTTTAAAATATTAATTATGCTCTCGCAAGAATAGGTGTTCATGGACTTGATGTAAACGCTGACATTCGTCAAGATGGTAATGGACATATCGATAATTGGCTCGAATTTTAGAAAAAAAATGTTGTCATGGATCAGCATGCATAAGGCATACACTAGGAAGTCCACGTAAGAGTCAAACTGGTAGACGTTTCTTAGCGGGAACTTCACCTTAATTTTCTGGTCGTACTTTTGATTGAGGTTTTTGCAAATGGTCGCGTTGGATGACACCTTCAGGATTATGAAAAGGCAAATGTAAATCAGTCCGTCTATTTTGCGCACGTTGAACTCGTCGCACTTGCCAGACTGGTTGAAGCTGCCGTTGTGGTAGACCCGCGGTTGCTCGTCGTAGCTGTTTGTGTAGGCCTGGTTGGCAGGGCTGGCTATGTGAGTGGTGGTGTCCGCGGTAGTGCTAACGGTGCTACCGACCTCCTTTTCACGTTTGCGTAGATCGGCCAGAGTCTGCATCTCTCGCTTCCGATGGTGATTAAAGCAGATCAGTATGTACAAAATGTAAAAGAGGAACAAGCTGCTATTGTGGTCTTTCATGTGCTTAATAAACAGCCGATTGTTATCCATCAAGTGCCACAGCAGGCACAAATAATTGTGAAGAAACAAAACCTGCTCCTCATAATGTTCGTAGTACAACTTGTAACTTATCAGTATGTTTAACGCTCCTTTGTAAATGTACGAAATATCGTTTATGTCCAACTTACGCAGCATTTCTAGGTACACATTATTGGAGCGCAGTTTTTTGGACTCCTTTTGCTTTTTTAAGTAATCGTAGTAATATTCATCGTTTGTGTTTTTTCCCTCTCGATTAATTTCGTTCAAGTAAAATTTTCGCTCTTTCATAAGGTGCTCCAGTTGTTGAAATTTTTTTTTTTTTTTGTTTTTTTTACCATTGTTCAGGTAGCCATTTTCCTCTGCGTCTGTGCATGTGCTTGATGAGTTGCATGACCCCTCTGGGGAATCATGAAGCATGATAAAATCGGCATGTATGTTCGTGACCATTTCATGGATTCCTTGTTCGTCCTTCTCGAGCGGGTGCTCCTCCCCCTTTGTGCTTTTATCCGTGTCTGACTTTTCCTCCTCACCGCTTTCACCATGCGTTATCAGCGTGTCGTCCCACTTGCTTGGCTCATTTCCGCTCTGGTCTAGCGAATTGGTGCTGCTGCTATTTCGGAGGGGGGCTTCCTCCCTGTGTACATCTCCTATGTGTGCTTGTCCTATGTGTGCTTGTCCTATGTGTGCTTGTCCTATGTGTGCTTGTCCTATGTGTGCTTGTCCTATGTGTGCTTGTCCTATGTTTGCTTGTCCTATGTTTGCTTCACCTATGTTTGCCTCTCCCCTATGCGCGACGCTGTAGAAGTACCTGGCCGCGCTACTGACATAGTGAACCCTCTTGTCGTCCTCCAAAACGAACGGATTAAAATCAATCAGCAAGTTCAAAATGTGAATGCACAAATTGTAAAACTCCAAATAGGTTTTATCGTAAAAGTAAAAACTAAAATAATTAAATTCATTGTCATATATGACGGCCAAAAGGGAAAGAAAAAAAGTCGCAGTGTAGTAAACTTCCCCACTTGTAAAGAGAAAAAGGAACAAATTCTTCTCTTTTAGGTACTTGCTTTGGTCCATATATACATACGAGCTTAACAGGACTAGGAGGCACTTTAAGATGGCGCTTCTGTTTTTTATTAATTCCAGGTTTATATCGTTACTGTGTGGGGGTGATACATCGACGCTGCTTGTGTTCCTCCTTAAATGAGTCTTGGTCATCTCGTCTTCCTTGTGACATGTTAGGCCCATTTCACGGTTGGACATTTCATAACTTGGGTTTGCCTCCCCAGGGGAGGTGGTACTAGCAGTCCCCCTGTCGCTGACATTTGAACATTTGGTACCCAGTTTGGCGTACCTTCCATCGTGCAAGGCGCTAACCCTATCACCTTCGTCCTTGCTTGCAACCAGTGGTGCACTCCCGTCTTCTGTCCCATCAACATGCTCACCAGCATGTGCACACTTTTCGTTTCCTACTTCGCCTTGTCCACTGCTCCCATATTTGACCCGTTGATGGATGCAGAACTTGTGCAACCACAGCTTTCTTACATCTACCGTGTTTACACAGGGGTACATTTTCTCCTTCACTGGGTGGACGTCCTCCAGGTGTTCCGCATTGTAATCACCCTTCACACCCTTCGCGTGGTCTGCGACGGTGGTGAGTTCGGCTCCTCCACCAATGCATATACCTTCCGTGAATAGAGCCAGAAGGAAAAAGTTGTACAAGTGGAGAATCAGCACATTGTTCGTGCATACGTAGGTAGGTTGGACGGGACACTCTACACGATTTTCTCTCCACAGTAAGTCGAACACTTCCTTTTTGTGGCAGTTATACTGTAGCACTGGGAGCAGCATAAGGCATATGTTTACACATGCTTTGCAATCATCAAGGCATCCCGTGGAACCTGTCGGTGGGTGGGGGGAAATTGATTAACAACACATGTTGTTATGATTTACTATACAAGGGGGGGGGGGGGAATATATTTACGCTCATTTGCCCGCTCTCTCGCCAGCTGCACTGTGCAAAAAGACTTATCGCGACGAATATATACATATACACATATATGTATACACATATATATGTGTCGTCCACGATAGGAGCGAAATACTCACCCTTCAGTATCAACTTGTGCAGCGTGTTCATGAAAAAACTGAAAAAAATTCTGACACACTTTTCATCGTCTAAGACCCTTTTGCATAAGGAGAAGTCTTCCTGGCTGTGCAGGTTCCTACCCAAGGATGACAATTCGCCGTACAGGTCGACGTCGTTCCACTTTTCATCATTTGCCTTCTCCACGAGGGCAATGATCCTTTTGCTGTTATTTTGGCCCATCAGTGCTGCTGCATATGGCTACTGGGGTCGGGGGGACTGAGTAGTGAAGAAAAAAAGGGGGGAACAAAAAAAAAAAAAAAAAACACCCACATGGACCGGGCGTTATTATAACATAGATGAAGGCTCATACCCCTGGTAACATACCACGGACATGCTGTTCACACCTGACGAAGGGAAGCGCGCTTTATGCTGCACTGCGCAAGTGCAAGTGGGGAAAGAACGAGGGACAATTCACACGTTGTATTATATAACCCCGCGGGGCAGTGTTAACCATGAAGAGGAGATAAAAACCCGCTAAATTCACTTTATTACTACGCAATGCACATATTCGCATTTTCGAGATGACCACGGAGGAGAGGCTGCCCCCTTTTTGTGTACCCCGGAACGCTTGCGGTGGGGGGTATGCGCACCAGGCTCAAAAAAAATAGCCCGAAAACGGGGGGCAAAAAAAAAAAAAAAAAAAAAAAAAAAAAAAAAAAAAAAAAAAAAAAAAAAAAAAAAACCTTAAAAGACCACCCTTTTTTTGTTACTCAAAAAAACTGGCACCTTCCTATTTCAGGTGTAAGGGGC